CTCTCTCTCTCTCTCTCTCTCTCTCTCTCTCTCGACGATACCATCTCCAAGATTACAATCAATACGCATTCAATACAACAAAAAATTGTTCAAAACTTTTATACTTGTATTTCAAAACAAACTCAAATTCAATTGATTTTCATTCACAATCAGTTCACATCCAAACAGAAAAAGGACCTTAACTTTAGACGTTTGAAGTGAAGACATACTCTCATCGGTTCTCTGAGACGATCACTGAAATTATGAATTAATACAATGACAACAAGAAATCATGATTTTTAAATTTTTTCTCATATATTCTCCACTATTATTGTATAGCTTAGAGATCGGTATTGTTTGACTAAACCATTGGTTTTTTCCTATTGGAGGCAAGAATTTTGTGTAGTAAAAAATTTTCTCCATTTATTACAGACTGTTTCCCTTACGATGACCTAAACTGTGGGCCTGTTATCCATCACAACGTATACAATACACGCATAAAAGTTGCGTCAATAAGCATAAGAAATCTCTATATATTTTTTTAGCGAAACACCTTATTCTGTGTGCACTTGTATTGTATGACTTTCAGTAGGGGTTCAGTGATTTTTTGCTTTGCTTTTTGTTGTTTCCAAAAAATTTGTGCTCCATTTTTCTGATATACATATATATTCTTATATACGTATATACTATATGTATTGGAGGTAACAAACCCTAAATGATTAACTATGTTTCGGAGTCTTTATCTATAATTCTTCCCGTTTTTATGCATATTTGTATTGAATAAGTCTTTGGCCATTGGTTTTTGTGGTGCGGTTTCTGTATATTCTGAGCGCAATTGTTATTCGTCTTTTAATTTAATTCATTTTCATTTCATTCAAATACAAAACTCAATTCATATGATGTTTAATCCGAAATTTCAGATTAAGTCTCACAATAAGGAATTTAGTGGTTTTGGTGGAAATTGATGTAAAAAAGATATACTATGTCGAGAGTTGTATCAGTCGGTGCACAACTAATATTGGGCATTGGGATAGCGCTGTGTTTATATTCACTGGCAGTACAGCACCGGTACATCGATGAACGAATTACCAGCACTTTGTTCGGCAGTGTTTCCAATTTAGTATTTATAAGCCTCGGATCGTAATTGTGCTCCAAAGCTCTCTCTCTCTCTCTCTCTCTCTCTCTCTCTCTCTCAATATTTTTTTAGCGAAACACCTTATTCTGTGTGCACTTGTATTGTATGACTTTCAGTAGGGGTTCAGTGATTTTTTGCTTTGCTTTTTGTTGTTTCCAAAAAATTTGTGCTCCATTTTTCTGATATATATACAGTAGTATTGGAGGTAACAAACCCTAAATGATTAACTATGTTTCGGAGTCTTTATCTATAATTCTTCCCGTTTTTATGCATATTTGTATTGAATAAGTCTTTGGCCATTGGTTTTTGTGGTGCGGTTTCTGTATATTCTGAGCGCAATTGTTATTCGCCTTTTAATTTAATTCATTTTCATTTCATTCAAATACAAAACTCAATTCATATGATGTTTAATCCGAAATTTCAGATTAAGTCTCACAATAAGGAATTTAGTGGTTTTGATGGAAATTGATGTAAAAAAGATATACTATGTCGAGAGTTGTATCAGTCGGTGCACAACTAATATTGGGCATTGGGATAGCGCTGTGTTTATATTCACTGGCAGTACAGCACCGGTACATCGATGAACGAATTACCAGCACTTTGTTCGGCAGTGTTTCCAATTTAGTATTTATAAGCCTCGGATCGTAATTGTGCTCCAAAGCTCTCTCTCTCTCTCTCTCTCTCTCTCTCTCTCTCTCT